TTCGAAAAGGTGAGGCTTTATAGTCTAAAGCAAAATAGACGGGATTGTTCAAATTTCAGATAGTACGAGACGGCTGTAATAGGGGTACTTGACCAATGAGGGCATGCCACGTATCCAAAGGAATAAATGATGTTTCAAACGTGCTAGAGTAGTAGAGCGACGTGCAGAGCAACTAACAAGACATTTCTGGACTGAACAAATTGTAAAACCAGGCAATATTGAGCTTGGTTGAGTTTTAGACATTTAGCTCAACTTTGAAGCAGTAATCCTAATCATGCTACGCAGATAGAATTAAAAGACAATTGAGAGAGTAATTTGTGAGCAAATTGGGCCGAGCTAGGACGAGTCTTCTTTGGAGGATGGGCCGCGCTATAAGGCCAAGAAGACATTTCATGTTTCAGATTTGGGCCAAACTACGGGCTGAAGTAATTACTTATGTAGCACGATCCTAGATCATCTTCGTCAAGCCGGTCAGAGATGGGCTACCAATAGCATGACCTAGTTATCCTAGACCGAGGTATCAGTGGAAGGAGGGCCGAGCTAAAGGATAACTCTACAGAGCGTCATCTCCAAGTTAGTGTTGCCTAAAGTAGCACCGATCTGTGTGAGCACGGTTAAGTCTTGTGCCAGCCAAGGTAAGAGTTACAACTATCTCACTTGGTTAGCAGTGAGTAAGGAGTTATCAGAATGGGCATTATCCTTCGGAGTATGATTTCTATGAGGACTATTATAAGAAGAGTTGGAGTCCTACTAGGATGGTGCTAGGCAGAATCTACAAAAGCTCATGACAGGACCTATGTACAGGTATCACAATTCTTACTCTGGAATACACAGAGCTTTTGTGTCTATCGTCTATTTGCTGACTTAGGCATCGAAGAAATTTCCGGCACACACCCGCCGGCTAGCCCACGTTTGTGTTTTCAGCTAGAAACGCGACGACGTTTGGAGGAGTGCAAACTTAATCAACAGGATTATATGAGAAGATTATTTCTGTGCTCGTACAAGTAAGATTTCATTTTCATTTATTATGTAGTTTTTATTTTATTTTATCTCTTAATTAATTAATTTAATATTTTATTACTACGGATGTTTCAAGCAAAACTTTTATACTAGCAAGATAAAAACAAGTATTTTGTTTTTGAACATTGTTAGCTAGTATTGCAAAACAATATCAGGTGGTAATATGTAATTCCTACGAACACATTGAAGTCAAGGATACATACATCGTTTTTTCCTAATTCAGCCCCCGAATCCCTTATGGATAATTGCATTTCTCTTGAAGACGACAACAGTCCAAGTGTTGGTAATAATCCAATCGATGAGGGCAGTGTCTCTGTAAGGAGTAGAAAGGCCTACAGGTAGGAGATCTGCAAAATAATTATTTCAGAAAAGTCAAGTCAGTGAAGCTAAAATCCGCAAATTTAACAATTTATTTGAGACATTTAACCAACACTTTGCTTAGAAGGAAATGAAAAAAAAAATTAAAAGAGGAGAAAAAAGGGCTCAAGCATTGAAAGAGATGAAAGAACATGAGATAAAAAATAAAAAAATTTGATAATGATGACAGACATTTCTCATTTGGACCTTCAGATGAAAGCTTATTACATAATATGCAAAAATGAGATTTTCGCAAAGTGGTTCACACATGTGAGCAATCCAAATTACTATTTTTCTCTACATTCTGATGAATAATTACGGAAGAATTTACTTTTTCATTTTACAATGTCATTTATTTTTCAACAAAATTTTTATTATTTATTTGCTTTGTAATTTTTATTTTGCAATGAAATGTAGTAGTCCATTTAATTTTATCTTTTGCAATGTAATGTTAACTATTTTTTAGTATAATTTTATTTTTTTAATGTTATTATGAAAAAATACATATATTATTGAAATGAAGGCAATATATGAAAAAATACATACATATTTTTCAATTAATTTTTTTAGTATAATTTTTTTTCAATTTTTACTATAATTTTTTTTTTCATATATGAAAAAATACATGCATATTTTTCAATTTTTTCACAAAAGACAAAAAATAAACAAAAAAAATTACTAAAAAATCTACATCTAAACAACACCTACAAAATTAGAGAAAAAATTAATTGAGATTTGTCAAAATAATATATAACTATTAGAGCACTATTATTATAATTTGACAAATAATAATAACAATGCTATTACAACAAATATTATTGAAAATGTTCTAAAGTTGCCGAAGTATAGGTGATATGTTTGGTCCTAAGGTCCCGTTTAGGAATTTTTTTAGTTTTTTAAACTAAAATATGATATTAAAAAAATTAATATATTTAGAAAAATATATGTTTGGTCCTAAGGTCCCGTATAGGTGATATGATTAGAGACTTTTTAATTAAAAAAATCACTTATAAATATATAAATGGGTAATGATACATCCCACTAAATGTGGTGCTCTAAAGCATCACTAATGAGTTGGCAAGAACTTTAACCAAAAAAAAAAAAAAACACAAGACACAACAGTAGGTCCCGTCCACTGCCACATCACTAGTGGTACTTTTAGAGCACTACTTTTAATGGTCTCAAGCATTATTGTATACAAATTGGTCAGTCTTCTCTCTCAAGTTTCTTATAAACATCGTCGGTTACCTTTTGTGCTATCTTATGGTCCAAACAATAACCAATGTTAAATGCAGTTTGGTCTCAAGGCCCAATGCATTGTGCTATCTATCCACCGCCACCAAACAAAAACTGGATAAGGACGAAACCCGAATAGTGGGGGGTGTCGTGTAAACGCAAAGCAAACGAACAGCTGAAAGCTGTGTAACGGTTAAAAAATAAAATAAATTTTTTGAAAATTTGAAATTCGAATTTTGAGCGTTGTTGGGCCGGATTGTGGGGCCCATGGAGTAGGAGCCGTTTTCAATATTCTCATTCCCATATATTTTCCTTTGACGAGACGATCAGATCAGATCAACCACTCAACGCTCGAGGCCGCGAGTGTGTTTAACTACACTTGTGCTCACTCCTCTCTTTTTATTTTACATGTTTAATAATTTGAACAAATAAAATAAAATTAAAATATATATTATATATTATACATCATTCATTCAAGTGGTAAAATTTTTATTTCTTTCATCTAAGGGGTCTAACAATGTTCAAATCCCACACCTGCCGACACGTAATATAAGAAGAAGCAAGTAGAGATTTTAACACAAAATATAACATTCAGAGTTATTTTCGAAATAAGGTTAAAAGTCAGTTTATTAGTTTTTTGATTTTTTGGGTTATATTACTTCTCTATTTTTTTATATATTTTTTTTAAAAAAAATTTAAAAAGTCAAGAAATCAACTTTTAACCTACTTTCCAAAATAGGGATCACTTAATTCCAACGAGATAATAATTTGTCTCTAATTGATTGTGTTCTTTGGAAATGAGAATTCTTTAAAGTGATTTTTCTTAGAATTATTTTAGAATAATTTTTTGAATTATTGAGATTTATACTTTGTTTGGCAATCAAATTTTTGGCTAAAAAAAATACAAAAGACAAAATATTACATCTAAACAATAATTATTTTATTTTTTTTCTCACAAAAATTAAAAAAGTCAAACTAAACAAATTTTTGGTCCTAAATTAAAATAGCCAAAAAAACTAACTAAAAAAGTCTATTGATAAACGGCAACTTATATCAAAGTTGTGAGTATAATTATTGTTTCACCTTTTAATTATCAAAATCTAACCATATCATTCTAAGAAAAATCACTATACCTAAATCATTGCTTGGACATGTAGAGTTTATGTGGTTCCGTCTTAGGTGTCGTTTGGGAAGAGTTCATTTGGATTCTTTTAGCTCTTTGAGCCACAAAAGACAGAATAGGCTATTTGAGTCACAACAGACAAAACATCACATCCAACCCATAATCATTACATTCCTGTCTCACAAAAAAAAGTTAAAAAATCAAAAAGCCAAAAAGCTCTTCCCAAACTAAGCTTTTGAGCCCAGACTCAAATAACCAAAAAAACCAAAAAGTCAACCCACTTCCCAAACGGAGGCTAAATAATCTCAATCATTCATTTTTTAAATCCACATATATGATCTAAATCATTTTTAAAAAAAATTAGGTTGATTTGATAACCCTAACCACATTAGTTCTTAACATTTATTTATATGAAAAAAAGCAATAAATATTATTTAAAAATTAAACCATTCATTTTTTAGAAAAAATTATAATAAATTAACATAGATACAGATTATAATCTAAAAAGTGTTAGCTATACTAATAGTCCCTATAGTTTGGGAGTTGTATCACTTTGGTCATTAACTTTTCAATTGTGACACATTTGATCTTGAATTTTGAATCTTGTTTCAAATAAGGACAATTGAAAATATCATTAGATTTTTCAAGAGTAAAATCGTCAATTTGATCAAATATAAACTAATTTGACAAAAATAAATGTCAAAAAAATATTTTTAATTTTTTAAAAATTATTTTTTTTCACCAATGATAAAATTATGTAAAATTAATAAAAATTACATGATTAATTTTTTAAAATTAATTTTGCATGATAATCATCCAAACACATAATCAAAATTAATTTAGAAAAAAAAATAAATGTCTAAAAGAATTATCAATTTTATATAATTTTATTTTTAGTGGGTAAAAACAATTTTTAAAAATTCAAAAATATTTGTTTGACATTTATTTTTATCAAATTAGTTTATATTTTATCAAATTGATAATTTTATCTTTGAAAATTCTAATAATATCTTCAATTGTCCTTATTTGGAACAAGATTCAAAATTCATGATCAAATTTGTTACAATTGAAAAATTAAAAACCAAAATGATATAAATCCCAAACTATAAAGTCTATTTATGTAATTTGCTCATCTAAAAATTAAAGGACTAAGCATATGAACAGTTGGTAGTGGCAGCGCGTGTACCTCTGTAAAGATAATTTTTAAGTTTTCTCAAATTTCCCGCCCAAATGCACACAGCAAAGCCCTATGTGTCCATGTCCACACAGTAACTGCCTTGGTATATATATTCTCTTTCTGTCTCGTTCTCTCTCTCCTAAACACATTTCTTCTTCAATTTCCTCTCGACTCTCAAATCCATTCTCTCTCTCTCTCTCTCTCTCTCTCTCTCATGGAGGACTCTGTCAAAGAACAATCTTCAGCCACTGGTACCAAAACCTATGCCCTAATCTCTCTCTCTCTATCTATATTGATATATGTGTGTATTTCTAATGTTTCTGACCTTGATTTTGCAGCGAACGCAGGGAAATCAGGTTCCAAACTCCGGTATCCGCTCCGATCGGCGACTAAATCCAAGGAGGAAAAGCCTGCGGCCGCGGCCGCGGCCGAATTGCCCAACACTTCTGCTTCTAAGAGGTCTAAATCTCCTGTTTTGCAGTTTTTGCAATTTCTGTGGTTTGAGTACTGTAGTACAACTAGTGTGTAAAAAATTGGCAATTTTAGGTTGTTATGGTCAAAGATCTCCGGTTATATTAGATTAGATTAGAAATCTTCTTAAAGGAGGAGGGGGGGGGGGGATATTGGGAGAATATCATTTAGGTTCAACAATAAAATTTCCATCAGAATCTTGTTAGGACAATGTTGAGAGGGTTTATTTATGTGTCATTGAAAAAGTAGGGATTATTTGTACGTTTTCCCCAAATCATTTGAGTAGTGCCTTGACACATTTGATCAAGATGGTATCTGTATTTGATTGTGATGACTTGCGGTAATTGATGAGGAAGCAATTAAGGGGTAAAGAAGAGAGGTAGGTTTGAGATTGAAATAAATAAACAAATAAATTACACAATATGTGATGTATACAGATGGAATTCAACATGAAATCTCATCTTGAGAATGAAAATGTTGCAGTTTTTAAAACATGGTCAGTCAGAATCTATTGCGTATGTGCGTATGTAAGAGTGTAGCATGTTTTGGAATCTCCGTTCAGGGTTGGCCACACAAAGTTGATACAATACAAGTTTACGTCTTTACAATAAACTCCCCATATGGAACCTTTCATGGGAAGCATGACAGATACCTAAAATTTTAATTGTTATCTATACATTTTGTCATTGGGGCCAAGACAAATTGTTCTTGCTAAATTTGCAGATTTCTGATTTCTTCATGGGATGTATTTTTTCAGAGGAAGACCTGCATCAATTGTAAGTAAGAGTGTGGGTGTTCTTGATCTTTCTGCCAAGGACAAGTCGGGCAAGCCTCCCAGAAGGCTCTCTATCCCTGCCAAGACAACTATCAGCCATGTTCCGAAATCAGTTGGCAATGTTTCTCCAATTTCTGAGGTTAGGGCAAAAAGGTTGGTTAAAAGTCAAGAAAAAAATGACACGCCAGCTTCTGATGTTTCCAAATCATCAAGCAGAAGGAAGTTCAGTGTTCTGTTATCAGCATCCTATTGGCTATCACAGATTAAGCTCTCCGAATCTGCTGCTAAGCACAAAATCTCACTTGGTTTCTTCAAACTTGCTATAGAGGCTGGATGTGAGGTATGGAAGATCATATTCCCCCTTCATGAATTCATAGAATAAAACATACAGCCATGGTGTATGCTTGCTGTCTATCGTGTGTGATAATATCTTTTTGCTTTGTATATCTGTTTGACTAACGTGTGCGTATAGTATTATAGTTGAACCAATTTTACTGGTGTTTCTGAAATAGAGGGATGCTTAAGGTGTATATCAAGTCAATTGTTAGAAAGCAATCTACCTGTTGAACTAGTAGTGTTTGTTGTCTTGTGAGTGTTGTTTGTTTTGAATATGGTTTAACTATAAAAGATGCAGAGCTAGTGTTTGTAACCTTGCTGTTGTCTTGTGAGTGTTGTTTTGAACATGTTTAAACTATTAAAGATGCAGAGCTAGTGTTTGTAACCTTTCTATTTATTGTTCATGTACAATCACAGTCATTGTCTTCTTGACAAACCGTTTGTTTTGACCTACTTGGTCTGTTGGATATCCCCAAAATTCAAAGAAAAAAGTGACTTGGACAAAAAGAAAACCAGCTTGGACAAAAAGAAACAAAGTGACTACTAACAAAATTAACTCGCATCTTTTTTATCTATATTTGCTGGGACATTAATCCTTCTTATAGTGTGCGTGTGCATTTAGATCAAAATGATTTTTGCTGTTCTATAGTTGCATGTGTCCACACTTTAATTTGTGATTGCCTATGAATTTTTATTTATCCTGCCATTAGATTGTTAATATTGACTCTTTTTTTTGTTTTTGTTTTTGTTTTAACCCACTTTCTTCTTTATCATTTTATTTATTTTCCCTTTAATATATATTATGTATCCATTTAGCCTCTTCAAAGAATGAGGGATGAGCTGAAATCCTATGCACGGCGACATAACTTGGCTGAACTTGGGGAATTTGTGAAAGAATTGTTTGAAAGCTACAACATTTTGGAAAACTTTGAGCAGTTGCAAGTCTCTGAAACCTGTTCCCAAGTGCCTGAAGAGGGAACTCGATCATCTGATGATGATGTACACAGCTCTTCATCTGTTACGGGAGCTAGGAAACTGAAACCGAAGTCCTTGAATACTGAAAATACTGTTCAAGCTTCTGCAGGCACAGAATCAGCCAAGAAGGATACTACTCAAAAGGATAATCCTGGAACGAGGACCAGAGGATCTTGGAATAAGAATTCTGCAAACACAAGACCCGCTTCGAAAACTGCTGGGAGTAGCATATCAAAGAAATCTCAGATTCCAAGCAAGCAAGAATCGAATAAAGATAAGGATAAGATCAGGAGGGTGGGAAAGAAAGCTGCTTGTGAGCAAGGTAATCCACCAGCTAATATATATTGTGCTTAGTGTAATACATGTGCCATTTTGTAAATTGACTTGTTTGTTTTTATAGGTTCAGCCAACCCGTCACCTACAGACGAAACACTCCAAGAAAACAAAGAAAACATGGTAAAGAAAGATTTTTGAAATATTTATCTGATAAGCATAAGCATTGTGTTAATTGATTAGAACCAAATTTTACAAACAGCATGTGTAGTCGTTGATGATGAATACTTATTTCATTCTTTAATTGTTGTAGGATGCTCCTCAGATGGAAGAGATCAGTTTGATTGAAGCTTAGACAGAGTCCTGCACCAAGCATGCTGAACTATACAATTCTGTTAATTTTTGTTGGGTTTTCGTCTTTAATTTTTTTTAGCGTGGTTCATTTTTTTTTTTTTTGGCGGTGTATAGATAGGGTTTGTGTGGAAGTGCTCAAGTGTGGTGATGAATTCAGTTTTTTCAGAGTTTTTCTTTACCATATGTGCCTACTATAATACAATTATGTTTGTGATCTCAGATTGTATTGAATCATTAAACTTCATTGTTCTTTGCCTGATTTGGTAATTCTTGCAGGCTTCATATTTGTCCATATGACATATTAATATTGATTTTATACAAATTAGGATGCTTCAAATAAATTGAATTATGATACCATTCTTCTTTGGAATGAAAATTTTTCGGTGCCCTTTATAATACCTGTTAAAATTCTGTGCTTGGTTGATGATTTATCCCAAGTTAAGCTCATGATTAATATGTAATGTATGTGTCCTATTCTTCTAATTTTGTATTGACTGTCTCTAATATTTTTGGTTCCTTAATTATCCCTGTTTCATGCGTTTAAGATATCCCTGTTTTAGATAGGGGGATTTTTTTTAAGGTCCCTGATATTAAGAATTTATAGTATAAAGGACACTTAATATTTTCATAATGTCTAAGGTCCTTCAACATCAATCCAGAGAAAATTCGGTCCAGAGAATTTCTCTGGACTTTCCAGAGAAATTCTCTCCAGACATCCAGAGAAATTCTCTTTATCCAGAGAAAATTCAGATAGTCCAGAGAAAATTTAGACATGCAGAGAAAATTCAGATAGTTCAGAGAAAATTCACACAATCCAGGAAACTCTGCATCATCGTGCATTTTATATGTTCTCTTACAAATATCTTTTCATGAAGGGTTACTATCAAAATTCTGTTTGCTAATCCTAGTGCTCTTTGTAGATCAAGTTCAACAAGATGAGGTGGTTGACAGTAAGATTTTGCCATACCTTAACATAGATAAGAAAGAGAAGAAGTCATTCCCTAGACTTCCAGAGAAAATAGAATTTCTCTGGACTTTCCAATTTTTCTAACATTCCCTAGAATTTCCACTGTAAATTTCTCTGGCCTTCCATTCTCTCCAGAGAAATTTCCCTTCTCTCTAGAGAAATTGTAATGTGCTTCATCTTGTTTGAATATGCTATATTGTTGATATTGATTCAGAATTTCTACAATTTGTTTGGGAAATTCCTATCATTTTCTTTGAATGAATTCAATAATTTTTTGTTGTACTTATCTACAAATTTTTTAGGGTATATCTATCCTTACCTAATTCTAATGGAGAGTGGGAAATATACAGAAGGCCAGAGAAAAAAATTTCTCTGGAGAGAAGGGAAGACCAGAGAAATTTGCAATGGAAAGTCTAGGGAAGGTAAGTCCCTGCACCAATTTTCTCTGTGTCGAATTTAGCAAAATCAACAATTATTACCAACTCTACAACCTGAATTCTGTAAAATCAAATATCAAATTTCACAGAGAATTCTCTGTGAACTTCATAGAGAATTCTGGTTCACAGAGAATTTCTCTGGTGACTTCACAGAGAAATTTTCAAATTTCTCTGACTAAATCACATACTCATCTCTGTGATTTTCTCTGGCCATCTAGAGAAAATTTCTCTGGCCTTCCCTTCTCTCCAGAGAAATTTCTCTTCTCCAAACCCAAAGAAATTCACTTAAACCAAATAAATTTCCCAAACCCAGAGAAATTCGCAAAGAGATGGAAAAGTCAGTGTATACGCAAAGTGCTTTCAATTTTCAGAGCTTTCAGGGTTTTTAAAGTAAGAACTCCTCAGATTCACACTCTCAATTTGTCCCTTTCTTGTTTATAGGAAATGAGTTTGCTAAAAATGAGGCCAAGGGTCTAAAATTGGCATGGGTTTGTATATAGAGACTCTGTCTTGTTCTCGGTTTGTCTCTAAAATGTTTTTCAATCTCGTTTATAGTGGTGGAGGAGTGAGAGATTCGTAGATTCGAAGAATGAGGTTCGGTGGATGATGGACTTATGGGACGCCATACTGGAGTTGGACAGAGTCGATACATGTGGGGGAGAATATGTCTGATAACAATAGAAGATTTCTTCGATGATCTGATCCGAGAGGCTGCCAAGAAGACAGAAGGCTTCTCAGGTCGAGAGATAGCGAAACTAATGGCCAGTGTTCAAGCAATCGTGTATGGACGCCTGGCAGCGGCAGTAGGTTCATTGGTGATACGCATCACATTGAGTCCAGCAATAACACCATCATCCTTTGTTGCTTGACGTTGAGAATCATTGAAGTAGGCAGCCTCCATGTCTGTTCAACAGCTCTGCAATGCAACTATGGCGCTCTCTCTCTCTCTAGATTCTCTCTCTAAAATGAGGTTCGGTGGATGATGGACTTCTGGGACGCCATACTGGAGTTGGGCAAAGTCAATACATGTGGGGGTGAATATGTCTGATAACAATCGAAGATTTCTTCGATAATCTGATCCGAGAGGCTGCCAAGAAGGAGCGGCAGTGGGTTCATTGATGATACGCATTACATTGAGTCCAGCAATTACACCATCATCGTTTGCTGCCTCACGTTGAGAATCATTGAAGTAGGCAGCCTCCATGTCTGTTCAACAGATCTACAATGCAACTATGGCGCTCTCTCTCTCTAGATTCTCTCTCTAGAATGGAGAGACAAATCATCGAATTGGTTTATGGAGGTTTGAAGGGTGAGGGATATGGAATTTCTCTGTAGGGACCTTAGACATCATAATATAATTTTGTGGACCTCTTCCATTACGAAAAGTGGGAGAGGGACCCTAGACCGATTTTCCCTTTCAGATATGAATGAATTGGAAACTAGTGCCCCCAAAGGTTGATTCTATGCTGGGTAAGAATATACGTTAGTGTTGAGTTATGATTTAAATATGGATTTGTGAATTGAGTTTTGAAAAGAGAAAATTTGTTTGGTTATGAATTTTGAGAAGAGTTTTTGAATTTTAAATTTTGAAAAGAGTTTTGAGTTTTAAGCTTTTGAATTTTGAGTTGTATTTTGAAATTTTTTTAAAATATTTAAAAATGTTTAAGAAAATTTTATTTTTTTATTTTAAATATATAATTTTTATTTAAATGTTTTATTTTATTTTGTAAATATTTTAATTTTTTTAATATTTTAAACTCAAAATACAATTATACACTCAAATCATAATTAAACATATAATTCAAAATTTAATTCAAAAATATACTTAACTCAAACCTCTACATTGTTTTTAGAACTTTACACTCAAATTGTAAATAAATACATAACTTAAAAATTAAAATATTTAAAAATATATTTATAAAATAAAATAAAATATTTAAAGTAAAAAATTAATTTTTTTTAAATTTTAAATATTTAGAAAATTTATTTAAAATATTTTTAAAAAATACAACACACAAATGTATAAAATAAAGTGCACATTAAAATAAATAAATAAATATTTAAAATATAGAATATTATTTACCCTAAAAAAATAAAATGAAGAAAATTTTTAACTATTTAAAAAAAATAAATTCAAAAAATTTCAAAATACAATTCAAAACTCTTTTCAAAATGTAACCAAACAAATTTTCTCTTTTCAAAATGCAAGTCAAAACTCAAAATATAACTTTCTATTCAAATCATGATTCTAAAAATAATTTTAAAAAATAAAATAAAAAAATATTTTTTTGATTTTTTTTAAATAGAGTTTTGAAAAGAGTAATTTTGAGTTTTGAATTGAGTTTAATATGTTTTTACTATGTTTAGTTATGAGTTTTGAATTTTTTTTTATTAAAATCACAATTTCAAAAGAGAATCAAACCGGCCTAAGATTTTAAATTTTGAATTATGAATTTTGCAAATTCACAATGATTTCTCAAATCATGTCTCGTGTTCCCAAGTAGGCATTATGTGCTTCGTTTATTGAGAAATACGAAAAGTTTGACCTTTAAACCGACAAATGTGAATAAAACATAAATTAATTTTTTTTTACATATTCTTTATTCTCTCTATCAATTACTTCTAAGCCCAAAATCCAAACATATTGGATCGTAGAAACAATGCAAGTGCACCAAACTGCACAATAGTGCTGTTTGGTATTGCTTATTGTAAATTAAAAGTTGATAATTACTCTTTACTTAACTTTTAGAAATTAAATTTTTTTCAACTTATTTAAATTACTTTTACCTAATAAACTATAAGCAAAAACCGTGCGCAACAATTTGAGACAAACTCTCAAAATAAAAGAGTTTTAAGTAGTTTAAATAAGTCGCACCAAACCACGTCGACATACGTTCACCTAGAAATCAAAAACCATTTTATGGCAGTCGCATAACCAGAATGTTGGAAGAATTGGAGGAAAAGGAATTTTAAAAAAAAAAATTATATGGAAAGCAAGAAGTTATATTTCAATGCAAATTAATACACAGAATCCTTGGTTCATCGTATAACCTGGTGGCTACTGAATGCAACGAGTCTTAATTATAAAAATATATAGCACCACCAGTTGTAATAGCAAGTATCGTGTGTCTAACATCCAAAAAGCAAAAAAGTTTGCCCAATGGCTATTAGACTCAGATGGCTACTGTGACAATGCACCGCCGCTACAGAATTAGTCAGCAGTCCAACTCTGCTCGACTATTTCCCTCACTCTCCGGTTGTACTCACGTTTGTTCTCGCTAAACATCCGGGCAGCTTCAGAATTTGCAGGTGAATTAGGGTTTGGATCACAGAGCAGTGACTACAATAAGATAGGAGTAGCATTAACATTGGCTAGTTGTGCTGAAAAGATATAACTGAATTTCAACATAGGCATGTTGTAAAAGCTAGCAAGCTCATCAATCAACTACATTCACAACCCAAAATTCGACCAAAGAAACAGTAGAAAAAAAAAAAGCATATCAATAATTTTAAGAAGAATTTCTTGTACCCCTAAGAAGAATTTCTTGTACCCCTAAGTAGCACAGACACAGATCCGCCAAAATGGAAAATATGTAACATAACACTAATTAAATAAAAAAAACTACATATTTCATAACTTAAACATGAAGATATTATTCATGTAATAATTACAGATTTTTGATATAATGGATTTGATTTTTGATTAAGACACATTAAAGAAGTGTCGGACGCATTTGTAGGAGTGTCTGAAGAATATCAACACAACACGCTTCCTCAACAGAAGTGTCTGTTCTTCCTAGCCACTACCATAATTTTTGTTTCAACAATGTAGAGCCACTTCTTCAAGACAATCAAAAGAATCTGTCACCACACAGGTAACAGTTGGCTTCATAGCAACTAATGAGAGATCAAATTAGAAAGAAAAGAGTAGTAAGAGGGCCTATCTCTAGAACAAATTAATTTCCTCAGAGAGATTCATAGATAGATAGAAATGTATATATATAGTAAGAGCAAGAGAGAGAGAGAGATGATGAGGTAGTATTTTTAGCTTTAAAAGGCAGATTTTCCTTATTATATTCAATATTTCTTAAGTTGTTGAGGAAGCAACGTTTTGTACATTGAATATACCACCACCCTTGAGAATCAAAACCTAATATAAAATACTGATGGATAATCAAACACTATAAAGAGAAATGTTTATTATTTCAAATATTAGTACACCGTTGTTCAATGTACAAGGTGCACCCCTTTTGTGGCAGTTTATTTTCCAACAGAATTTTATTTTGAAAAAATAGTATACTCTCTCACTCAGTTGATATCCACATTGACATTGACACTGACACATCACCACAAGAATTCCACTGCTAATGTGAACCAGTATAGATTCTCTAGACATTTCCAAAACTAATAGGAAGGGAAGAAAAAAAACAGGAGCATGCTCAACATTTCCATGTCAGTTTTTAAGTGTACGACACAAACACCCTCAACCCGACTGGAACTTGAACCTCACAAAACTTTTTTTAGGGTAATGGGAAATACCACTTAAGCTATTAGCTGGTGGTATGGGTGAACCTTCTAATGTTGTCAACTCAAATGTTGATGTAAAACTAACTCCCCAAGCATCAAAATTAGAAATGTAATTCTTCACAAATATTAGGCTACTTCGTTGATTTTTATATAATTTTTTATTTCTTACAAACTATGATGGCATCCATGCAATATTAACCATTTTACCTGGATAGATGTCAGTATAGCCGCCACATCATATATTGGACTCCACTGATTTTGTAGAATATCCAGACATATACTCCCATCAGCATAAACTGACCAAATTCCAAAATAAAATTGAATATAAACAATCATAGCTCAAATCACAATATAATGATTGGGACGTGATGAAGAAAATCCAATTAGTCTATTTCAACTTACTATTGGGATGGAACATTCGGGAAACAAAGCGCACTGTTGGTGGCTTGTTTGGGTAATCCTCGGTAAACTGAAGTGTCAACTTGAAAGTACCTGTAGCACTCAGATTTTTTTTTTTGTAGATTTGAATTGCATTAAAAATATAACAGCAAATACAAAACAAACTTATCTATAAAACATAAAAAGATGTAAAACAAACAAAATAATGTTGAAATTTTCCCCTTGTTTTAGTTTTTTAAATTATTATCTCATGGTGAAAGAATGATGAGGTCAAGAACAATGTTGGTGGCTACATCAAAACCAACAATATGCTTGGAACTCATCTTTATGCTAGAAATTTTTTTAAATGAGTGCTTCGTAATGCATCTAATCCACCATACATAGCATGAACAACAAACAAAAACGAATGAGCTGTATACATAAACACCTCACAAGGGTTTGGCCATGGGTTTGAATCAAACCCAATTATGATGCTTCTAGATATGCATAAACACCCCACAAGGTTCAACCCCACCACCAAAAAAAGAAAAGGAGGGAGAGAGAGATTTGTTTCAAACAATTTGCATATCCAAAAATATAAGTAAAAGAATGTGAATTGACCAATCTGTCACGTGATACAACATTAATTAGTATGAAAGCTTGATTTCAGTAATCCACTCACCTCCATCCCATGGAGTGTCATCAGGACTGCAATCCACACCAGAAAAGAAACCAGAAAATGGCTTATCCAGCCATACATAAAAATCGCATGGAAACAAAATAAGTAAATAAATAGATTCAAAATTTCACAAAATAACAAATTTAAAAAAAATAAAAAAAACTCCAAGACTTACCCAAAAATAACAGCATTCCAAAGTGTTATATTGTTGTCATGGGGTGCACCGCTGATTCCTGCAGGAGGGTCTTGTTGCAACCTCTTGAAATCTCTCATCAGCCTCTTCCTTGCAGGTGTTGACATTGTTACCACCTTTGTAATTCAAAACTATCACAAACCCAAACTCAATTGAACAGTCTCCTCTGCCCTCATGAAATTTAAATACAAAATCTACAGTGGTAACTAACAAACAAGATACCCAATAATTTTTATTATACCATCAATAGCATGAGAACGTTACAATTTCATTTAAGTGCTTAATCCAATCAAATTCACGACAAATGCAATACAAAAAGTAAAAGAAAAAGTTGAAAGCCATGTTTTATCAAGTTACCAGATTACCCGCACTTGAAATTACAAAGATAAAGAGGATGTAGACTAAAATTAGGGTTTTGTTTCACAATTCAGCAGTTTCACCACAAAGTCCCAAGTTCATCCCATTTAAAACATATGCCTCTCTCAATTAGTATCCCACAAGAATGTCGCTCCCTAGTGCATGTATGTCCTCATCAGCGTATGTAGCACCATTTTTTCATTGCAATATGGCATATATACAGCTTCGTATCGGCTCACAACCACTGTAATACAAGCAAACCCTCTCTCTACTGATCGGCTATGTTGCACGGACTCGGGTGCAGGTATCAGATATGGGTATCTGTCTAGCTGTTAGATTCGCCTATTCGTAAAAATAAAAATACGGGGACTCGGCTAAAAAATATCCAAAAAAGAGATATGGATACGGGTACACGGCATATGAAATATTAATAGCCTTTTAAATTTTTTGACTTTATTGATAGTTCTTTGATTTTTTACTAATTTTTTACATTCTCAAATCAACCCCAAGTAAAAAAATATTTTTGTATTTAATTTTGTATATAAATATAATAATTTTTCTTTATTACCATTAAATTCTATTGTAGAAGACACGGACATAAATAAATTCTATATAAACACAATAATTTTTTTTATTTATTTTGTATATAAATATAAAAAAATCACCATATAAAATTAAAAAATAGAATGTATATATATTATTTATATAAGTAATACTAGAAATTCTTAATATTTTATTTTTTATTGACATAATCATATTTTGTAGGTCTCATATATCATACAAATAAGAAACAAAATATATAATAAAAATATTTTAAATTTATGTATGTAAACTTTTTTTTTAATTGATATTATATATATGTTTGTGTGTTATAAATGAGATAAGTGGAGTCAGAAAAAGAGAAGTGAAGAAGAGAGAGAAAATGAGAGAGAGAGAGAATAGAAGATGGATAGACATAGATAGACAGAGCAAACGAGAGGAAGATCGAGAGAAAGAGAGAGAGAAGAAGATTGAGAGACCGACAAAAAGACAAAGACAGATCGAGATCGCTAGTGAGAATAAAAGATCGAGATCGAGATGCGATGGCGATGGCAATCGCTTCCTTCACCAGATTCGCTTCCTTCTCCACTATAACTTGTGAGTTTCTCAATAATCCTTCTTCACTCTTCTCTCATGTCAGCTGTGTCCGAGAAAATCATGCCGAATCCAACACAGATCTCACCCACACCCATGTCGTGTCGTGTCGTGTCGTGTCGTGTCGACACGGGTACTCTGTCCTAAACCGACAAGTCCATGTAACACAGCTGACCGGAGGGCACATGGGTTTTGTTCACTTGGTGCAGGAAAATCCAGCATCGCATAGGGGTAGGAATGGCAACGGGGCAGGCTGGGGCCGGGGATCACACTCCCCGTCCCCGATCCCCGAAGCTACAGAATTTCCCGTCCTCGTCCCCGCCCCCGCCCCCGATCCCCGACGGGAAACCCATCATCCCCCTCGCCCCCGCCCCCTAGCAGGGATCGGGTTTCCCCGACCTCGGAAAATCCCCGCAGCTCTCTCTCTCTCTGTTTAGCTTTCTCCCCAATCATAAATCATCAACAATAACATATTTTCATCAACAACATCAACGGCAACATCATCAACAATAACATCAATTTCATCAACAACAACAACAACATCAACAACAAAAAAAAAAATAGAGACAGATCAAGATAGATAGACACACACACATCTGCTCAGATCGAGATATACATACACAGATCTGCTTAGATTTGCCGTGTATGAAGGTTCGGCAGTGGTGCGGAGGAGGAGGCGACGGAGGATGAGGAGGCGACGGGGGAATGCGTACTGCCACGGAGGAAGAGACGACGCCATCACCAACTGCAGAGAGAAGGGCGAGTGAGAGAGCTTTCGCCGACTGCGAAGAGAAGAGAAGAGATCTAAGAGAGAGTGAGAGAGAGCCATCGCCACTGCGGAGTGTGAGAGAGAGAGAGAGAGAGAGAGAGAGAGAGAGAGAGATCAGGAAGAAACATATGAGAGGGTTATATTATTATTATTATTATTATTATTATTATTATTATTATTATATATATATGAATAGATAGAGGGGCATTATAGTAATTTTATGTTCGGGGAGAAATGGGGCCAGGGCCGGGGGGGCCTATGAAAGCTATCCCCGTCCCTGGCCCAAAACTGATCGGGGATTCAATTTCAAATACCATTCCCGGCCCGTGGGGAGTATTTTTCAGGAAAAAACCGCTCGTATCGGGGACGGGGGGTCGGGTCTGTCATCCCTACATAGAGGGCATAGATTAAAATACAAAGTTTAGGTATTTTCTCTAATCCTAAAGATCTATCCTAACAGATCAAAGAACACACATAAAGAACAAAACTACTGATTGGCCAAAACTACTGATTGGAGAGCACAGGGGTTTTGTTCACCTGGTACAGGAAAATATAACTCCGCATATGGGGTATAGATTAAACTAACAACAATTTACGATTTTGCTCTCACCAAACACAAAGTTCAGGTATTTCCTCTATTCATCGAGATCTATCCTAACAGATGAAAGAAAACAAATAAAGAATTGGGTGCAAAAACAAATGCCAATCTTGATTAGCATCCCGCAAAAAATTCCCTCTGTAGTGCATGTATATCCCCATCAGCATGTGAAGCACCATATGTTCATTGCAATATGGCATATAATATATACAGCTCTGTATCAGCTCAAAACAACTGAAATACAAGCAAACTCTCCCTCTACTGATCTGAGGGTACATGGGTTTTCTTCACCTGGTGCAGGAAAATCCAACTTATGGGGCATAGATTAAACTAACAATTTAGGGTTTTGTTCTCATCAAACACAAAGTTCAGGTCTTTTCTCTATTCATCAAGATCTATCCTAACAGATCAAACAAAATAAATAAAAAGTAAGTCACAAAACAAATGCATTCTCAATTAGCATCCTACAAGAATTTCCCTTCCTAGGGCATGTATGTCCCCATCAACATGTGAAGCACCAATTTTTTCATTGCAATATAAGCATATAACATACACAGCTCTGTATCAGCTCAAAACCAATGAAATAAAGCAAACCCTCTCTCTCTATTGATCGGAGGGCAAATGGGTTTTGTTCCCTTGGTCCAGGGAAATCCAATTCCACATATGGGTCACAGATTAAACTAACAACAATTTAGGGTTTTGTTCGCATCAAACACAGAGTTCAGGTTTTTTCCCTCAATTCATCAAGATCTATCCTAACAGATCAAAGAAAATAAATATAAAACAATTTGGAAATCTTTTTTACCTGTAAATGGTTCGAACCAAAGCTTGAATTTCAGATAGTATGTCGAAGTCGAAGACTTGCTAGGGTTCAATTCCACCTCTTTCGGTGGATAGGATATGGGTTTCTTTCTAGAGCTTGCAAAAGCAAGAAAGAGATGAGTAAAGGCAAGAAGATATAGAAAAAGAGTATATATGGGAAATTAGAGAGAGAGAGAGAGAGAGCGAGAGAGAGAGCGAGAGAGAGAGGGTGTGGTTTGGATTGGTTCTCACCAGCCGTCCCCCCTCTTCAATACTTCAATTTCTCTGAAATTGATATTTTTGCTATTTTTTCTATTTTTATTGAAAAAACGTGTAAAATAATTAAGAGGTTTCATGACTTTAAAAAGTAAAAAAAATATTTTTTTTGACTTTTAATTCAATTGTTAAAATAGGCCAAACATGCATGATTTCATATCTAGCTTAAAATATGATTTTTTAATACTTGAGATAATAATACTGTTAATCAAATATATTTAAATCTTAAGCAATGTTTGGTTTTGGCTTTTGGTTAAAAAAAGTATAAAAGACAAACTTGATTACATAAGTCAATAAGACAAAATATTACATTCAAATTATAATCATTATATTTTTTTTCCTCACAAAAGTTAAAAAAGTCAAAAATAAAAACCAAATGATACTAAAAAGCTAAACTAACTAAAAAGTTAAAAAATTAGACTATTTTAACTCTTCTCAAAAGTTGCTTATTTCAGCTTTTAGATTATTTTAAGCTGCTTTGGTGTGTTTGGTAGAGTTTAAAATCACTTTTTGTAGCTTAAATTAAGCCAAAAAAATTTGGCTGAGTGGCCTTCAAGTGCTTTTGGATTGAGCTTAAGCGGGAATCTAAAAATTGAGAGGCAAAATTACTTAAATGCCCCTAGTCAATCTCAACTATTACCAAAAAATCAACTATATAAATTTCATATTCTCAAACATTGTTCACTTGAGAGAGAGAGAGGAAGAGACAATTTTCTGCGGGAGATTTCCGATGAGGAGGCCATTTCCAGAGCTTTCTCTCTTTCTCTCTCTCTCTCACAAACAAGAACAAGAACATAGCCAGTGAATTTTTGATACGAGGATTGTATGTGTTATATATATATATATACACACACGTAGGAGCCAAGTTCACAGGATTCATAGAGGGGCAATAAGGTTACAATGGAAATTATCCAAAGAAAGTTGCTTCAAAGGGTACCATACTTTCCTCTACCTCCAATCATGTGTATCTATATCTATATGTTTGTATTTCTAGATTATTGTTTTTTCGGGTGTGATTTCAAAACGTAAGGTTGCGTTTGGTAGAGCTTTCTAAATATGATTTGAGAGTATGAGTTGTATTTTGAGTTTGTGAGTTTTGGAATTATGATTTGAGTGTAGAAAATTTGTTTAGTAAAAGAGTTTTGAATTAAGTGGAGAATTTTTGATGTGACATATGATATTTGATATAAAAACTTACAACTCATAACCAAACATACAATTTAAAATTCTATTAAAGCACATAAAAATTTTTTCCCGAATATATAAAAATTAACATATGTCAAAAAAAAAAAAATTCTCCTGTTCTGATCAACCGGCCGAACAACCGGTTAGGCCAAATTTCAAAAAAAAAAAAAAATTCAAAAATCGTGCTTTTCACAGAGTTTTCTGTTTGTTGTGGAAAACTAGTTAGAAAACTCTATCTAAACATAATATTACAATGTGTGGGTAGAATTAGGATTTAAAAATCCTTCCAAACAGAGCATAAATTTTTGTGGATTTTAATGGAAGATTGCTTTTTTTTTTTTCTTTTTTTTTTTTTTCAATTCCTAACTTATATGAGTGGATGTGGAGATGCTTGTTGTCGTCGTCCATTAATCTTGCCCAACAAGTAATGGGTTTCATTTGAATTGTGCATTAATCTTGCTTTCTATGCCGGCGGCTCTGGCAAAATCAGATTTAGGGTTTTGCGGAATTGTTATGAGAAAAAAAGAAAAAGAAAATTTATTTCAATTAATTTCCATTTAATTTTTAAAAAGAAATCAATTAAGATTGAAATAAATTGTTCAATTTATATCCATTAAATAAATTACACAATTTATTTCACAATTATTGGTATAAATTGCACAATTGCACAATTTAAATAAATAAATAAATTGCACAATTGTTATATTATTAATTGCTATGAAAAAAATAATAAAAATTAAAAAAAAATAACAATTGTTATATTATTAATTGTAATGATTTTTTTTTAATAAAAACAAAATCACAATTTAAAAAAAAATTAAAATTGAGGAAAAAAATGAAATACAAAGAAAAATATTATAACTTCTATTAATAACTAAGTGAAATTAATATAAAGAAAAATAATATGTAATGACATCACAACATTAATATAAATACGGGGATATTAATTGTAACGAATTAATAAATTAAATAAAAAAAGTAATGATGCTAATTAAGCCATTAAATGACACTAATTAATTTATAATGAAAAAAACGAAATAATGTTATACTAATTGATACTATTAATGAAAATAATATTTTTTGTAACACTAATTATAAATTTTACTAATAAAATAACTTGTTTAAAATTAAATTTGAAAAAAATGTCAAAATAATCAATTTTATATTATATAAAGGCAAAAAGGACAATTACACAATAAAAAGTTATTTTACAGCTTATCAACCAAACACTACTCTGCTGCTTAAATCTATAATCTCATAACTGCACCAAATAGGTTAACAACTTATATCAAATAGGTTAACAACTTATGTTTATAGTTATAAGTTATAATCTGTTAAGTTATAATTTATAATCACTTTTTCATAATTCTACAAAACAATGTCATAAATCGGATGCCACTAAACAAATCACACAGAGGCCTCGTTTGGGAACAAGCTTTTTAGTAACTTTTTCACTTTTTGACTAAAATGTGATGTAAAAAAAATTAATATGTTTGGGATGACTTTTTAATTTTTTACAAAAAGATGTGTAAAAAATAGAAAGAAATAAGAATTTTTGACTTTTTCATATAAATTATTAACTTTTTAATTTTTTTAATAATTTTTTTTTGACTAAAAAACACACTTGCCAAAAGGTCAACGAGCTCACTCAACTTACAATCTTGTAGTTAAAGATAGGTTACTTTCTGTCCATTGAATTGGGTTATTTGTGAGCCCATGGGCTGGTATTTTAGAAAGATTATGTTTAGAAATTTCAAAATGTATTTTTAGATTTATGTCAAGAATTAAAGTGCGTTGTGAAAGTAAAAAATGTATATTATAAGATTCATATATAAAATAAATATTAATTCTATATTAATATTTTTAAATAATTTTTTAAATAAAATGTCTGAATTTATAATATTACTATAATAGAAAATGTGAACACAGGACAAGAGTGCCTTTCAATGAGGCATGGGCAGATATTTTGATACTAGCATGGGAAAAGAGGGAACAACATTCAAATTGGTGAGGAAATGAATGGAGGATAATTTTTTTTACCTTTTAAAGTGTAAAGCTTTTCTCCAGTTAGGTTTAGTGGGTTTAATTTTTGAGTCAATTTCAAATGATTTTAATGATCAGATATTGGTAGTTAAATAATTAAATTATAATTATTTTTGAAAGATAAATAAATAGACAGGCAATCGTTACAATCATTTTGCTGTTTAATTTTATAAAATAAATATAATTGAAATAGATAGTTGCCAATATCTAATTAATTTGATTTTTTTACATTAATTATTTTCTCAACAAAACTTACAAAATAGCAGTTCAAATCACCAAAACAAACCTATCAAATCCAACCTTCTCTCCAGTTAGAACACCAGCCAGAGAGAATGCATGGACACATTTTTTTTTTTAAAAAAAAAAAAAAAGAAGAAGAAGAAGAAGAAGAAGGAATGGGACAAAAACAATCCATGCATCTTACTTCATTCTTTCTTATCCCAATTTGTTCCTCATACACATTTCAAATACACAAGTGTGATAGGGATTGAACTTGCTTTGACTCTCACTCAAGAATTTGGCAACTTGGGCTAAATATTATGAATATATTTGAATAGTATTTAGGTTTCAAAATAAATGAGAAATAAAAATAAATTTATTTTCTCTCCAAAACTTCAAATTCCAAACACAACATATATAGCTTAATCAGGTGTATAGTTTTTGGGGCTTTTTAGCCCAATAAATATGATAGAAAGTTCAAACCTACTTTACAATCATTAAATTAGTATTAAATATAATAAAATCAGGCAAAATATGATATTGACTTTTTTTTCACAAACTACAGTGATAGTTATAAGATTAGCCTTACTGTTTTGCCGTTTTTAACAGAAACATATTGGTTTTAGCTTTTGATAGTTGAAGTCATTATATGTGTATGTGGGAGCCCAAAAAAGATATATCTAAAATGGTTAAATAGAGTACATCTAGGCCTATCTCGCTGGATATTGGGTCATTGTCGAATAGACATAGAAACATGATAAGCAATACGTTGAGTAAAAGGTATCTAGGCCACACGACTGAGCTGAGTATATTGGGTAAGTTGGCCAGACCATGTCAGGCGAATCCAGGCTGTCCCTTTTTAAAAAGTATAATAATGAGATGGACCCTGACAGAGTGATGATGAAGGGCTAAGCTACACAGAAAAAATATCAAGGAGAATGACTATCTAAAAGAAAGATGGAGACTGAAGGAAGAGATATGTGCAAAAACTTGTATCTTAAGAAACCAAAAATACTATTCTTTCTATGAAAGCTAACTTACTCGTCAGAGTGCTAATTCCGGTATCATCGACTGAAGTTTTATTTCTATTTCAAGTGACAGTTGAGAGAATCTTCCAAGGGCTTATTTGGATTGAAGGAATATTCCAAAATCACTATCCTACAATGTATGTATATCATTCAACAATTTTTTTTTTTTTTTTTGATTTCATAATCGTAATCATATGATTTAATCATATTTATCTTTAAAAACAACAACTATGTAATGTTAAAGTAAATTGTTCATTTCTTTTAAGAGAGTCGTATAAACATAAAATCAAATAAAGTATGCCAATTTTGGAACTCATGGACTAGTCAAACCATTCAAAATTATCCTCAAGTGAATATTTCAATTATCAATAAACGGACAAAAAAGAGAAAGGAAAAAAAAAACGCAAAGAAATTTGATTATTCAGTTTTCCATATGCTTGCAGTCACCATTTACATCCACAACTTTCTTGATCATCACACCAAGTGAAAAATTCAAAAATACAACCCAAAAAAAAAAAGAAAAAAAAGATGCACAGATACACAATTTTCTTTAATACAAAACCAAAAAAATTATTAGCAAAAATGCCTATTTTTCCTATATTCAACCCTGCAAAATCAATCATATGATATGGTATCTAATCTCCATTGCTAGGAGAGGTAGATTTGCTCTTAGATGTGGAAAATAGCAACGAAGGTGTTGAATAGCATTTGTTTGTTGCACTTGGAACAATTGATGGGAAGTTAGAAACCCCGGGAAACGACTCCCCCAAATTTAGGTTTTGTCCCTGAGATCCAAGGGTTTTTGCACCACCACTATCATTGCCACTGCCATTGCCACTGCCTCCAATGATTGATGTTAGAGCGGCGGCTAAAGCAGATTGGAAATTTGGGTCAGATGTGATAGCCTTGGTTGCAGCTGCAATGCTATCTGCTGGTAGAGGCTGTTGTTGAGAAGGGTTAGGGTTAATAGGGTAACTAGGGTTAGGGTTACTTTTCTGCATGAAGGATTGATTGAAGATTTCTTGAGTTTGTTGTCTTGAAAAGCTTAGGGACCCAAATTGGTTGTTCTTGTTATAGAGTTGAGATTGAGTCCCATAGTTAAGGACTCCAGTATTATTGTTCCATGAATTGAAGTTGAGATTTGTGGAAGAATATCTTGGAGTTGAGAGAAAACTTGATGATATTTTACTAAAATGGGATGAGGATGAAGATGAAGTGAGGTCAAGTGTGATTGTAGGGTACGACGGTGAAGATGAGATTGAAGAGTAAGGGAAGACAAATTGATTTGATTTTGGATTATCAGAGAGATAAAAGTTTAGTCCACGGAGGGCAGAGGTTGTGGAGGCGGTAATGGCAGTGGATGGTGATCCGGTGGTGGAGGAGCTGCCGGAGCTTAACATGGAGGCTGCGGCTGAGGTGGTGGAAGCCATGGCGGTGGCGGAAATGGCAAGTGGGTGGTTGTGGGTCCCTTCATAGGTTGTGATCAAGATGGACATGTCCTCAGCACATCTTTGCACCTGTAGTTCAAGAAGAAATACCTAATTAGTGGCTTGTTTTAGCAAATATGCCACTAAATTTTTTTTTTTTTTTGCAAATTGCTTTTGGTTTTTTTCTTTTCGTATTTAGTGAATTTAAAAGAAAATGGCAATGTTTTTTAAACTAGAAAATCAGATGAAATTTGAAAAAGCTCACAAATTGAAGACCCAAAAAAAAAAAAAAATCAATTTTGTCATTTTTTAACCTTTTTTATTATATTTATTTTCAGATTTTTTTATCACTAAACATAAATGTGTGGTTCCACTTGTGTTTATTCATTTGAACCCACTACTTTTATTTCTGTTTACTAACAAAAAGATTTGAAGAGAGATTCATTTATGCATAACATTAATTTAGATTTATAGATACCTGCTTTCTTACAGGACAGGATGGAGCAACAGTGCAACGATAGTAAGCTCGAGGGCATGGATTTCCTTTCGCAATCTTCTGTCCATATTTTCTCCATTGGCATCCATCATTCATCTGTACATTAATTGAAAATTAAAATCAATCTATATATATTGATGAATTCATGTTATTTCAATTTATTATGTTTATCGATATCCTATTTCAAAAACAAATCTTTATGAATACTTCACGTAATATTTCAATATTCATAAGTCTAAGTAATTCGGCAAGTGTATATACATTTTTTATAAGAAAGTTCACAGAATGTACATCTATAACAATGTCAACTAAATAACCAAAAAGTGCATTTTCTATTTTTGCTAGGCATTTTACTGGATATGGGACCCTAAAATGAATGTCACACTGTATTCTGTGCATTTATTATTGAAAATTTTCTTTATTAACGAAGCATTACTGTAAGAAATTATACTAACCGTTGGCGTATCACATCTAATTCTCACAGAAACCCTAGCTTTCTTCACAGAGTTCCCTAGCAAAACTTCCTCATCATCTCCACTTCTCATTGTCTTCACACCTTTAGGCGGTGGCCAAGTCTCTCCGGCTTCATCCTTCACTTCATTCGAACTATTCTCGGGGCTTAACTTCAATGAAGTCTCAATTGGTGTTGTCTTAGGCACTTCAAACTTGCAATCTAGCCCAAGAGCCAAACCTTGTTTGTCTTCTAAATCCTCTTTACCTTTGCTAGGTTTTTCAATGTCTTTTCTCGAATCACTTGAAGTTCTTCCAAGACTGAGGGATACAAACTCTGGTTCCTCGGTTTCTTGGTGACTAGTGCGAGTCGTGTTTGTGGACTCCTTAGTTGCTCCTCGTCCAACAATGTCATGGAATTGCATTTGAAGGGTCTGGTAGTCCTTCATGATTTGGTTTAAATGCATCCTTAATCTTCGGTTTTCTTCTCTCGCCTCACCCATTTCGGCTTTGGCTGATTCAAGTTGATTATCCTACGTACACATACAAGAAAATAAATTAGCATGAAATGATGAAATATAAGTGTTCTATATAAAGAACATATATTTTTTTATAAGCAAAATTTTTTTATTAGTTTGAAAAACTGAATTACATCAAAATAATAAGAATTAAGGAAAGGAACTATAGCATTGCATACGGCATCCCAATTGGCTTGTATTTTTTTTTAGTTTTTGATCGACAAAGAAAATTTTATTGACCCAATTGAGTTGTTTACTGTTTGACATTTTTAATTCTTACTTGTTCAATACTTTTGAGAGGGTAATGTAGGCTGAAAAGTGTAGAAGCAGAATCTGTAACCATGAAATTATTGCAACTTTTTTTTAATAATTTTGTTGATTTCTAAGAATGACCAGAAAGAAACCCAAAAAAAAAAAAAAAAAGATAGAACAAAGGGAAATAATATATATATATTACTAAAATTTTCATCAAAATTTTCGGTTCTAAAGTAATTTTTTTGCAAGTTTATTAATTTTTTTTAAAAAAAATATGATAGAACTTATATATATAAAGGACTTGCTTCATGTAAAAACACATATAATGGTGAAATAAAACTAGGGTGATCTACCAATAAATTTTAAATAGTGATTTTATAAATTGTTTATTCCTTTCTTTTTTCTTATGGACTCAAATGTCTTATTTTAGTGTGAATTATATAAAGAATCAAGTATAAACCCTCGTGTGTTATGTGTTGAGGGACAAATGTGAGTTTTCTCATAATATTAAAATTACTAAATGTGACATTTCAAAAAAATTCCTTAGTATATTTTTTCCAAACGTAATACTCCAAAAACATTAACACTTCATTGTAACACACTAAAAAACTTGTTAGTATATTTTTCTTAAACATAATAACGTAACATTCTAAAAAAACTCTTTACTGTATTTTTTTCAAAAATAACACTCTTATGTAACACACTAAAAACTCCTTAGTATACTTTTTTCGAACATAACGTAACATTAAAAAAAATTCCTTAGTGTATTTTTCTCAAATGTAACACTCTAATCAATATAACATATAAAAATTCTTTAATATACTTTTTTTCAAACGTAATACTTTAATGTAACACTATAAAACCACACTAACAGAAATATTTTTCATGTTTGACAACCAACACTTCAGTCACCAATCTTGCCAAAAAGAATCTTTCACACCTCACATTTCTATTTCCATTCCAAAAACAAATTAGAAAATTGAAAAAATGAATTACAAAAGGATATTCACTTAAATTTAAATGGCACCAAAATAAATAAATATAACTTTTCAAAATAAAAAGGACTAATTGATTTATAAGAAAACTCTTAAAACTAAATGGATCAATAGTCCTCCACATAAAATTTATGGATAAATTTTCCATAAAACTATCATAGAGGTAAATGTATTTTTCAAACCATATACATCTTGTTTTCCAACATATAAACACATAAGCATAAATCTACTAAAACTTGCTAGCTAGTGTTTTTTTCCTTTTCTTTTTTTCCCTTCTAATATTGATTTCATTTTTGGTTTAAGGACACAAGAAATAAATAAAATTCAAATTCAAATTCAAATTTTTAGTCTGTCGTCAATATCATGTGTTGGATTGGCAGTTTTGTGCAGAAAAATCATTCTCTAATAATAGTCAACCATATTGGATTATGGTCAAATTCTTCTTGATCAAATAAAGATGTAAAAAATTAAAAATCAAAAGGGTGCGGCAACTAAACTTTGACATTTTCGGTTATACTCTTCATAGGGTTAATCATTCGGGTGATAACATATATAGTTAGTAGAATGAACCTTTCAAGCCTGAACAAATCATACCTAATGTCAGGAGTATGAGTTTACATCTTGTCTGTGTGCAAATCCATAACTTACCGCTATATGATTGAGTGGGCCTACTATGTAAAACACCTAAGGGTAACCTCTTGGACCTCGGATTCTTAGGGTTTAGCTCTAGAGGCCACCCTAGGTGTTTAGGCCTATTTTTTTTTTTTTTTTTTTAAAAAATTAAAATTCAAACTCTTACACAGTTAAGTTTATTACTTCGAGATTTATTTGATTTTTAAATATCAGTTGATACAATATTTATTGATGTTAGCTGATGTATAACCGTTTTGCCCACACAAATACGTATAGTTTTAAAACCATAGTTTTGAACCGTCGGAATACTGGCATATAGTTAATATTGAGGTGCGATGGATGTTGTTCATTCTCAATATATTGCAGAGATTTTGCATTTCAAGACTCTAGTTTGTTTTCTATTAATAATTCTATTACTAATATATAAATCAGTCACAAAATCAGATGGAGAGAATAATATCGATCTATATATATTTTATGTTTGGCGGATAATTAACCTATGGTCCATTTTGAAGATAAATTAGCTCACTTTGTGGATCGTTAAAAAGGCTGAAATTAATTTTTGATAAATCACCCATCAACTAATAAACAAACCGTATGATGCAATTAAATTGAGAAAAACGAGAAAAAATCAACGAAATCATGAGATATACTTATGTAGATCAATATCAAGATAAAAAAGTTCTACACATCGATATTTAATTTGAAAAAACCAGGAAAAAAGCTTTTTCAACCATGGGATCTTGTTATTGTTTTCTATGTACTTTTAAAATTTCATGGAATTTCAAAAACCATATTAATAAAATATATTCCAAAAAAAAAAAAAAAAGGAAGGAAGGAGATGAAGCTTCACCGTGTGGATAATTTCTTTGTCGCAACAACCATTAGATTCAACTCTGTTATCTTCCTTCACAACAACTACTCCATCATCAGATGTTCTCAAAGAAACCTCCATAGCTCTCTCTCTCTCTCTAAAACTTGTTATCTTAACAATCTATAAATTGTTCTACTATAGTTGTTCTTATAAGGAGAGAAGAGGGCTGCTGTATTTGACTCTCTTTAAATTAAATTTTCAAACTCAAATGGGTTCATAATGTCAATGATCCAGTTGCACTCAAAGAAATTAATTTTATATATTATTAATATATATAAATATATATACCTATATATATTTTTCGTACTCTCTGTTTATATATTAAAAAATGAACAACTTGAAGAATTCAACTTCAACGTTTTAGTCTTTGATAGATAATAACATGTGAGAGCGAGCGCTTAGGCCGCAATTATTAGGTCCCCACCGGGTTTGCCTTATCCACCTATTGTAAAATTATCAAAAATATCTAACATTTAAAATATTTATAATTTAAAATGTCCACATTTTGAATCACATTTCTATTTTATTTTGTAAAAAATCTAGTAATAATAAGGATTTATGTATTTATATGGTCCAAAAACATAAGAATACAAAAATAAAAAATAAAATAAAATAAAACACCATTAATAGGGCACAAAACCACGTGCTGTTTTGAAAGATTAGATAATGTATGCTCAACTACTGAGGAGTGGTATTGTTTCACTTATAAAATTTTCCTCTATGCCATTGGTTAGAGCATCCCATCAGTATAGCCAAAATAACAAAAGGTAAAATATAACTAGTAAATCACAAAATTGTTCCTCCATCAAACTCAATATTTTTTTTAAAAATTAATTTGTTGTTAAATTTGCTACAGCACATCACTGTTCATTAGTTACATGATTTTTTATTATATTTTTTGGAGCAAAACTAAGCCAAAATCTTTAAACTGGTTATCTACCCGGATGTCCCCCTCAGATACCCCACTGGATGTCCCGTACGTGCCTGTACTAGAAGAAGAAAAAATGCCAAAAATTAGTCTAAACGATCAACGACAATTTTTTTTTTTTTTTTTTTTTAAGAATTGTTTAGCTGAATTGTTAGGATGGCACCTCATCAATTTCATAAAAAAAAATAAAGAATAACAAATACAATAAGAAATTAATATTTTAATAAGATTGAGTTAGAATAGAGAATTTGATGCAGTGAGTACTAAAAAGGTGACTAGCTAAAATAATAAAAATGAATTTTGGATTATAATTTGACTCAAAATTTGCTAAGACTAATACAGATACTCTTAAGAGTATTACATGGATGATGGGGTTGTTTGGTGTAATTTATAGAACTGCTTATAGCCTTTCTTTTTCTTTTTCTTTTTTTTCTTTCTTTATTTTATTTTATTTTTAAAAACTAGTCAAAGTACTTGGTGTGTCTTTTTCTTGCAGTTTATGATGTATAAATAATTTAAATAAATTGAAATTTTGATTATTAAGGAGTAGATAGAGATGTGCTTTTAATTTCTATTTTTTATTATTAAGTTTTAGTTTGTAAAAAGTTACACCAAATAGAGCCAGTACCACATAATATTAGAATGGATAAATAATAAAATATTTGACAGGATTATGACTAATATTATAAGAGATATTATTATACCATATAATAATTATTGATGTTCTGTATCTTACTTGTATGCTTTCATCAATAAAGATTTTCTTTGCCGATCAAAAAAAAATTATACCATGTGATAAATAGATATATACATATTTATATATTTTATAACTATTGGATGAAAGAAGAAAATAATTGGGAGATGGAGACGCCTAATTCCTAAACTCACAATTCCCTAAAACAATTATTCTAATTTTTTTTTTTTTTTTGAGTTTCTATACTAGTATTAAAGTTATTCGAATAAAAAATAATCTAAAACATCATACACGAGATTAAAAATATATGTGGGACTTGACTGTCTCCCATCCTTTATCCCCTTCTTAATTAGTTCTCCATATGAAACGAAAAATTATTTTTGAGGCAAGTCTGATTATTCGGTTACCTCTTATTCTCAATTAGTTCCGCAATAATACCAAATGAAAAATTACTTTTGAGACAAACTTGATTATCTGGTCACCTCTTATGCTCAATTAGTTCCGCATAATACCGAATGAAAAATTATTTTTGAGACAAACTTGATTATCCGGTGACCTCTTATTCCCGATTGATTCCATAATAATACTAAACGAAAAATTATTTTTGAGACAAACCTGATTATTCGGTCACCTCTTATTCCCAATTAATTCCGCAATTAAACAAGTTAATGGGGCACTGAATAATTATTTCACAACAACTATCATTAAAGTTTCTTCAAAATTCAAAAGTCAAATGGGCTCCAGCCGGTCAAACTTGTCCCACCATCGAGTTAATCAGATTACCGGTGATCAAAATTTGGACAGTCACTATAGGTGTAGGGTTTCATCATACCATCGAGGTCAAAGTTGGAGTTTTCAACCTTTTTTTTTCATGATATTGACTTATTTAGTGTCCTGTTTGGCTGAGTACTGATTCTAATAAGTGAGACTGTGGGAGCCACCATGTCGACACTGAGGGTGTAATTTTGGCCCGGTCGGGCCCATTTGGGCTTGGGCCGGGCAGGGGTCATGTCGCGCCTTGTGGGCTACCACCAAAAAATCGGGTCGGTCACCAAAAAACTAGGCCCAGGCCCAAGTCATAACCTAGGTCTTGGGGTATTCGGGCTTTAGGCGGGCCAAGGGATCGGGCCTCAGGCAGAGCCCATGGGCTTGGGCCTTGGCTCTGGCTCAGGCTTGGGCAAGCCTAAACAAATTTTTTAATTTTTTTTCACCAAAATTTTGTTATTTTCCATTAAAAAAAACACTGGGCATCGGGTGGGCCGGGCTTTTGGGCGGGCCTTGAGCAGGCCAATGGGTCGGGCCAAGCTGGCTGGCCCATGGGCCGGGCTGGGCTTCAAAACGATGGCCTAGGCCTTGGCCCAAGATATTAGGCTGGGCTTTGGACGCGGGTCTTAACAGGCCGGGCCCACCTTGGGCGGCAGGTGAGCTTCGGGCCGCCCACGAGCCACGAGTCAAAAGTACACCCCTAGTCGACACCTTGTAGACTTCATAACTTAATTGGAAAAACTTAGGTATTCCTAAAAAAAAAATAACTTGAAAAAATTTATCAAAAAATGAAGCTTGTGATATAAATTCAATCTAATTGGAATATTGGACGTATTTAAAATGAATCTAGTCAAATTTATCCTACTCATTAATATTTGCATTCTCACTTGTAGAAGATGTAAAACTAAAAAGTTCACTTGCACAAAAACAAAATACATACAATTTCACAAATAGGGTAATGGGATGAATCCCACAGATAGGGATGGCAATTTAAAACCGACTCAATAGGGATTCGATCCCTCCAATCTTGATTTGAACGTTTTTTTTTTCTGAAAAATACCTCCGACGGGACAGAGATGGTATTCAAAAATCAATTCCCGATCAATTTCGAGCAGGGGACGATGATAAGTGTCCAAGCCCCGGCCTCTCCCGACCCTGTTTGTCCTCAAAGTGATATATATATATATATACTTTCTATGTACTCTCTCTCTCTCTCTCTCTCTCTCCCTCTCTCTCTCTTTTCCTCACCATCTCTGATCTCTCTCTTTTCCTCATCATCTCTCATCTCTCTTTCCTTCTCACTCACTCAGAGTCTCTCTCTCTCTCACTCTCTCACCTCCCTTTCTCCTGAGCGCCACCGCCTCTTCCTCACATCTCTCTCTCTTCCTCACTGTCTATGATCTCTCTTTCTCTCACTCACTCACTCACTCACTCACTCACTCACTCACTCAGAGTCTCTCTCTCTCACTCTCACACCTCCATTCCTTCTCAGTGCCACCGTCTATGTCGCTTCGCACTGTCGTTCACCTCCGTCGTTTCTACCCTCTGCTTCACCTCTATCGCGTCGCATCACCGCCTCTGTTGCCTCGCACTGCCGCCTTCAGATCTGTGTTGATGTGTGTGTATATATGTACGCGTGTGTGTCTCTATTTGTCCTTTTTTTTTTGATAGTTGATCTGTTGTTGTTGATGATTTTGTTGATGATGTTGAAACAGATTTGGGCCGGAAATTTTTCGGGGTCGGGGAAACCTGATCCCCGTTAGGGGGCAGGGACGGGGACGGAGATGGTGATAAGTTCCCCGTCGAGGATCGGGGCTGGGGACAAGGAAATTTTTTTCATCGAGGATTAAGACTGGAGACGGAGAAATTTTTACCATCGGGGATTGGGGACAGAGAGTGTGATCCCTGGCCCCGCCCCGCCCCGCCCAGCTGCCATTCCTACCCACAGATCACTTTGTGGAATCCATTCTTTTATCTATCATATATAATTTTTATTTATTTATTTATTTATTATTTATAATTTTATTCCTGTGTAAGTAGCCTAATGTAAAACCTTTCATTGTTATGTTCATGGTATGGAGGCAGATTGTGCATGGCCATGCATTCAGTTTGGCAAATTATAATCAGATAACCACGTATTGGAGTCAGAAAAGGTCACGTGGCTTGTACACTCATGTGTTATTATTATTATATTTTAAAATTTTCTCATGACACAGTGTGTATGCTTTAACATGAAATTAATCAAAAACATTTTATTATAAGTTTTTTCTTTGTTTGTTTGTTCATAGCTTTTCTTTTTTTCAAATGAGAAGTTATGGTGAATCCCCATAAGTTTTGCCCATAGGTTTTGTTTGTTGTTGGATTGTTTATCATATATATATTTTTTTAAATTTTGAAACTGTGTTATTATTAAAAAAAAAGCTCATTAAAAGGCAAGTTTAGGAATAGTTCAAAAGTTCAAAAATTATTACCAAAAAGTTAACTCTTCTTACTTTTCTCCCTTTTTTCTTTTTTTTTTTAAAAGTCAAAAAAATCAATTAAAATAAGTAATTCTCAAAACAACCATATTGAAAAAATGTTGCACCCAAGTGGCATGTGGTCATTGTAAGATACAGAGATATTAGGAAGAGAACATGTAAAGCAATAAAGACTATGATTAAATCAAGATTATGTTGGAAATGGTTATAAAATTCTGGATAAAATCAGAATTTTTTCCTAAGTTCGGTCTATTTTTTAGGTGGGCTCTGAGTGTCGA